ATATAACTAACAAAACGTAAATCATTTCAAACGTAAATGTTGAACATAAAATGCTCGAGAATGACACGAGAGATTTAGAGTGGTTTGTACCCCTCCTACTTATCCTGAGACTCATCTCGAGAGGCGATATACTAGAATAATTGTGATGTTTAATGATGCAAACACGCATATAATATAGGGCCCTCTCCATCACACATTATTTAAGTCGATATGCCATATCAACAGTACTAAAACGAAATTTTCAGCGACGACCATTTTGACCGAAAATATCGGTCGAAATTTCATGGTCGGAATTATTTTCTAACGAGTATTTTCGATGAAGTTCGGAAAAATTTCAATGACATTTTTCTTCTGAAAAACCTTGGTAAACTACAAATAATTTCCTACAGATTTTTTAAATTAATTAAAAATTATTATTTAAAATCTTATAATGCATTCAGTCAAAAATTTGTTGGAATTTCATAGCTGATTTCCAACGAAAATTTCCATAGGTGAAAGTTTCGTTTCTAGTACTGTAATATTTTTTAGCGTCGATTTTCAAAACATATCTCACAAATATGCTTAAGAAAAGACATGTGCTCAACATCAAAAATAGATTTGTAAGTTATTTTATACTCGAACACAAAAGTTTGGGTGGATGCCTGTGGATGTCGACAAGAGGCTCATTGTAAACGTTCGCTACGATATTTTTCTAAAAAAGTAAAAATTGACCGTTTGATTGTACAGTGATTCATATTGCAACTTCTAACTTTTCCACGTGTGAAAGTTTGTAACCAAGTCATCTTGACGTGTTTGTAACTGTGCATAATACATAATTGTTTGGTAGTGACGTAATAATATAGAAAATGACTTATCAGTAAGCAAAGTTTTTTCTAAACATGTTATTCCCAATTAAAAATATATTCCTATCGATAAAAAACCGTTACAAACAAAAAAAATTCTCGATCCGCCTATACTTCAAATCACGCTCTCAATTTTAGGTCGAGACCACTAGCCATACAAACCTAAATCAAGAGAAGTATAAATTTTCTTAGCGGGAATACTGAAGTTATCTCCGCCCTCGGACATGTAGCTCAATGGGCAAAGTGACATAACAACTTTACTCAAATACACAACATGCACGTTCAAATGTGAATACTGCAGGAGACGGATTTGAACCTTCCGTTAGCCTCGATTGTTGAGTCAACTCTGAAATGTCTCCTCACATGTGATTTCTAGGGGATGAATTCCACGTGGAGCCGGAGTTGTCTATAATAAAAAAGATTGTATCAGTAAATGGAAATTATGCTTTACAAATATGATATTTTTTGTGCATTTCTAAAAGACATATATGGCAGAATCGTAACCATAGAATACGACCCAGATGTATATATATATATATATATATATATATATATATAAATATATATATATATAACAAATGCACAAGGTTGTAAAAGAAATATACCATATATATATATATAAATAAATATATATATATATATATATATATATATATATAACATCAATTGAATGACTTTAAACACACATACTGATCAAACCATTCCACCTAATCACATCATAATGCACGGATGTCGTGGCAAATAGTTGGACACAAGACTCTCCATTTTTAAAGGATAAAGGAAGATCAGTACACTCAACACAAAAGCAAAAAGCTTGTGTCTTGAAAATGATTGAAGTTGCTATGTCCACAGTTGAAAGATATATCCTAACAGTTGTTCGACAGAATTAAGCATATCATCTGTTGGTATTGGTAATGGTACATACATTTTAATTGAATATTATTATAAGATAAAAATTGTATTTGAACAACGTCAATGTTCTAAAGGGCTCGTTGCAAAAGCTGTCATGACTCAAAGTTTGTGTCTCACGTCACGTTAAGCCTGTGTCACGCCATTGTATAATGCACGTTTTTGTAATGCGATATTTGGGTTTTCTGACATTTTTAATGTCTTAATTGTTAGTTTTTAGCATATAAATTAATTTAAATCGTTTAATATTTGGTTCATTGGGTTTATGGATTTTGAGTAATCTCAAAGACTAGTGATTAATGAGTGGTTAGTTTCTTGATCAGTTATTTATGGATCATGTATGGAACTGAGTGGTTAGTGTCTGTAGATAAACTATATGTTTGTGACTTATGGTTTTGGATTCGTTGTTTCAGTGACGGTGGTTTCTTTAATGCTATAATGACCTTCCCACAAAATTATCCAAACAGCCTTCCGACGGTTGGGTTTCCGTCGTTTTTGAGATCGCGTGTAGATCGTTGATTGTACCGGACGTAAGCGTGTCGATTGTGATGTTGTAATCTGCTACCAGATGCGCTACCGGAATATCTACATCATCAAACCCATCATCTTCTTCGTCATCAGAATCTGAATAACCTCCAACACCACCCAATAAGTGAGTTTGTAACACATTTTGGAGTTTTTTGTTTCTTAAAGTTGTGTTCGATTTCATGGGATGAAATAACACACACATATATATATATATATATATATATACACACACACACACATTATGTCCATATTTCATGAGGTGAAATAATATATTTATAAAAAGTGTATTTTATTTCATGAGATGAAATAGCATGATGAGTATGTGTTTCATCCGGTGAAATCGTGTGTTTCATTCTGAATTTGTGTGTTTTATCTGGTGTATTTATGTCTGTTTCATCTGGTGAATCCTGTTACCAAAATGACGATTATGCTTTTTTTCTATTTAAAAACATCTTTAAAATAATAACATAGGATCAAAACCAAATTAGGACTTTCTTCATGGTTCTCAACCTTTGGTGAGGTTTGAACCCCTGGCCTCGAGACCAGGAGTTCTGAAACTACTACGATACCGCTAGGCCAAAAACCATTTGATTTATTTTTTACATGTTTATATACACTTGTTGACGCTTTTGTGTTTGTTTGTGTAAATGAAGTATACTTATGTCGTTTGGCCCTACTTTTATTTTAACAACTATTGTCCATGGACAAGTATTAGTAAAAAAGAACGTATCTTTTGAAAAGGTTTTTTCAACATAAAAATCGTAAATTTTCTTAGCGCTTCTAGGTTTCCCCTAGATAAACTTTCTGGCAAAACCCATAATCAACACGTTACTCCTCACGTTATTTAGAACCTTGAACAATGCTTGGACAAGTAGCTGGTTGTTTGTTGTTTTTATAACAACACATGTAGAACCGATTGGAAAGATTCAAAAAGAACCATTCCAAGAAAACTTTTATACAAGATTCATTGCAAGAAATTTGTCAAATTGCATTTCCCATCTGATAACCAATGGCAACTGAATAACTCACTAATAGAACGACTTTAATTGTTTCTTCTATTCAAGAACCAACACGATTCTTGAAATATCAGTATTGTTAATCAGATTAACTAAACATATAAGAACCAACCCATGAAAAGTGAGATTTAAACTTGTGATCTTAAGCAAATTCATGCAACATAAAAGTACTACTGAATAGTTCATCGTAGAATGGCTTTAGTCGTTTCACGTATTCGAGAATCAACACGATTCTTGAAATATCAGTATTGTTAATCATCATTTACAAAGACACATTAAATGTATAAGATAAAACTATGGTTCTAAATAACTCATTATGGTGCGTTATGGCATAATGCTTGACTTTGCCGCCACGTTTATAACCCATGTGGCTCCACTCTAAGGTTTGACTTTCTGTTTCAACGCGTTAGGAAGTGTTACGACACACTATTTTGTAAGATGTGTTTTCTTTTCTATTTTTTATAAATATATAACTCCAGAGATAAATGATAATTATGTACTGCATCTCAGACTTAAATAAACATTAAAGGGAACATATAAAAATTAAAACAGTAAATAGGTAAACTCTATACACGGAGAGTCGAAGATGAATTATTTGAAGATCAAAGAAAGTAGTGAATAGAGACTCGAGAGATTTAATCTTGAATTTGCACTCTTGATATATCATTTTCTTATAAGCTCATTACATTTGATATAAATGGTTCTTCTTTCCTTTACAGTTTTTATAACTTTACGTGAATATAAATTGCACACACAAGTAATATACATACATATATGTACATATACGCCGTTCATAAGACACACCTTAAAAAACGTTGCAGCTTTATCGTAACCCATAAAGCTTGAAATTTGACTTAACTGTCGTCATGTCATGTCATGTCATACCTCACATCATTTATAACATGTTATATTAAAGACAACCCATGAAAAGTAAAGTTATAAACTTACAAATTCATCCAACATAAAGGTTATATATGATGTGATCATGTATGGCATGGGGACACATGCAAGTTCTATCACAATGTATATGGGTTGGATTTGATTTGATCTCATCATCTACCACTTTGAGTAAAAGAAGCTTTTGCTGCATGCATGTGTTCTTAAAAGACACATACCCCATCCATCTTATTGCCACCAAATCATAGCATTTGTGCCTCTCCCTTGCATACATCCACTAACTTTGATGGATGGATGGATGGATGTTAAGTACATGTCTCATCAACTCATATGCATCCATTTCTTTTCCCTTTTTTCTAACCAAAAGTTACTTCTATATTTGACTACAAGACATTCTAAAATGGTAAAGTGTTACTTATTTCATAACTTCTTGCTCCAATGATGCCAATGAAGACTTGGTTTGTTCTTTTTATTTTATTTTATTAACCTGAATATCCAACTTGCTATGTGAACTGATTAATTATAGGATGATCACCTGTTTTGCAGATAGCCTGAAGTCACCGCATTTGAACCTCCGTGGCCACAAGGGGATTTTTATTCCTCCTTGGATTTGAACCTGAGACCTCCCGGTACTTTTGACCTTTAGAGCCAAGCTCAAACCAATCAGACACCACCATTGTGGTTAATTTGGTTTTTTTACTTTCTTTGTCAAGTAACTCCCTCTAAAAGATCATAAATGTAAATACTTTTAATTTCATTGATATTACTTTCATTTGAATAATAATGTTATATGAATATTTCAGTATTTCTAGATTACATTCTCGAACAATACTTTGGAGATATGGACATTTATTGTCTCTTGATCGAAGTAGGTCTTGTAGTAGAAGGTTTTCGCGACGCTTAGGAACGTCTGCTTCAGATCCTGATCGAGATCATCGGGCGAGTTGCTGAGTACAAGTTGCACTAGCTCTTGCATTCTGGATTCGCTTGTCGTGTTTGCAGTTTCACTGCCGAAGCATGTCCTTCGATTCTCCTGATGATACACAAAGATTTGTTATGTCAATTGAATAAATGGCGAAAGAATCTTGATTGAATTTAATTAATATGGAGTAATATGTGCGAATTAGTTTGCGTGTACCTTGGAGTTATCGGAATGGAGTATTTCGAGACAGAGGTTATCAGTGATTGTTGATAGCCGTCGGTATTGAGGATGGGTGAAGAGTTCCTTCGATGTCCATCGGCCAGCGATCATGTTCATTGTATGTACTATCAGTTCCGCTTGTCCTTCTATCGCATCCGCTCCTTCTTGCCATCTCGTCAACCACATCTCCCACTAATTCCAAACGATGAAATTAAACAACACGATCATTAGTTATCTTTAGCGACACTCAATGGAGCGTTACAAAAGAAAATCAGCAGAGATATATCGAGCTTACGGCATGGTAAAGTTGTGGATGGATGTCTCCACTATTTGCCATGAGTGCATCCAATGCGAGCTCGTGTAGGGTTCCCTGAAGTGCAACCATCAACCCATGCCACGGTTTTCCATATCTGAGTTCAAAACAGAAAATTAGCAATCGATAAAACCTATCGTGACGCCCAAAACGGGTTGTCGCTAAATTCTTTTGCACTCTAAAATATGGAGAAGAAAACACACTTGGCAGGATGAAGGGACGAAGGCGTGTTTCTGAACTCGTTGACGAAATCTCTTCTATGCTCGTTCGAGAGTTGTTGTGAATCAAAGAAGGAGGAGATAGCGTCGACTAATGTGGTTGTTTTAGCCCACGCGATTCGCTCCTTGGACCTTTCGGGCTCGAATACACTGGCTGCAGCCAAGTAGTATGCGACCAAAAGACTCGTGATATTGCTCATCCCGAACCGTCCGATATTGAAGTCCGCATACCATCTGTTATTGGATTTATTCATTTAAATCATTAAAACGATACTTATTATAAATCATTGGAATTATTTATAAAAAATAACTAGCAAACTTACTGCTGCATAGTGTTCCATTCGCGCTGATGCATAGTGAGACAATTGTTGTAATCCATTTTAGCCATTTCAAGATAAGTGTTGTTGCTGACATTTCCCATCCTGTAGGGTTTCCACAAGTTGAATATGACCAAAATAATATATATATATATATATATATACATATATAATAGATATGTATATCTATATATAGACTTGGGATCACGTGAGACAACCTGTTTTCGTGAGACCACTTTTTTACACCTTCGAAGTGTTTTGCTACGAAGTTTCAAGTGTAAAAAAGTGGTTTCATGGATCTCATGAAAACAACTTGATCTCACGTGAACCCAACACAATATGCATATATATACAGATGTATATTATCTACATCGGGATTGTTTTGGAGTTAGACATTTTAGACATTTAGATGGGCAATGAACAATCGTAAGATTGTGTGTGTGTATATATATATATATATATATATATATATATATATATAGAGGGAGGTTTCTTTAAGAACTCACAAGCCGTCCTTTTTCATGAGTAATGTGATAAAATATTCTTGATAAATGTCGTCAAAGATATTCTTAATGAATAATAATATTCATCTTAAAAAAGAATGGTTCTTGGGTTCTTAATAATATTATAAATGCATACCGATCGCTGGGGTTGGTTCTACCGGTTTGTTTCCGTGAGACCCGTGATAACACATTTTTACACTTGAAACTTCACAACAAAACATTGTGAAGGTAAAAAAAATTTGAACCTTCACAGTAAAAATACTATGAAGGTTACCTTAACAATGTTTTGCTGTGAAGTTTTAAATGTAAAAATGTGTCTCACGAGTCTCACATGATTTCAAGTCCCGATCACTGATTTCAGATATATGAATTGGGAAGAATATATACATAAATTGTTGGATGTTCATACCAATTCAGAACATAGAAGATATACAAGTCCCGATGTTTGATTGCTTGTTAAGCGACAAACAGAAACGCATGTGTTGCAGGCTTGCAATAGATGCCAAATTTGTGCAGAAATTTTAAGGAAAAGTCGAAATATTCCATGTTAGTTGTATATATATAATACATATATATATATATATAGTTACTGTTTTATTTATGGTTTATATAAATAAAGTCGGATTTAAACGAGAATGGTAAATATTTTGAGAATTAGAGAACTAAGTTTTGTACTATATATTCATTGTTGAATGTACTCGGTGTTTGCATAGTAGAATCTGGTTTCGGTACGTATCCATTGCCAAAATCAGAAGCTGTTGGTAGAAGTTGTCGTTTTTCTATATTTTTATGACGTTATTGCGCTAATGTAGTAGTACCTGTATAACGTCTTTCCGATCCAAATGTCATCCTCGCCTCCGTATTGTTCCAAGTACCATCTTGTTTCGAGTCGGGGCAAGCTCACGTACCATGGCACGTCTAGCGCGTATCCCACCTGTTGATTCGTGATTCGAAGTTGTTAGAAATATGTGAAACACCAAAAGAGCCCCCGAAAAAAGAAGGGAGACTATAACATATATCGAATAGAAATGGTCCAAGTTTAATGCCATCATAGGTTTTATATGAATGTGTCGCAAATGGTCTGAGTTTTTCGCGCAAAATGAACTTATTCTGGCAGCGATATATTTGTGCATACCTCGCCAGGCAAGTCTTTGGCGATGATCCATTTGTCAAGAAGTTCGTTTGTCGATTGCTTCTCTTTCAAATAATTATACGAAAACTTCTTGGCATCCTCGAGGATTTTCTCTCCGGGAAAGAGCACTTGCGATGCCCGATATAAATTGAACATTCCTGTGACGGCTTGTGTTGATTGCCCGGTAAAACACACAAATTTGCCGTCTTTTTCGAATTGTCGAAACACATCTGTCACAAAAACACTCGTTAATCTTGAATTCGTCACTAAAATTAAACAAACGCTAACCTATTTGGAATTTTCGAGCATATGTTCATGAAAACTAACCCGGAGAAATTTCGTAACCATACATTCGCAAAAGCCTAAATCCCATCGCAGTGTCGTCAATATCTTGTACATTCGAGTTCTTCGCCCAACAAATCCCGTCCTTAGTCCAGTACCTGAAATTTCAATTGATCGTTACGATTTCTAGCCGTTCTTGAGACGTAGAAACGATAGATTTGCTGGTACAAACGAACAGTTTTTTATTTATCAGATTTGCGTACCTGTAGATATATTCGACACAGTTCTCGATCTCTGACTTGAAATAACGAGAAATCCCAAGACGTTGAAGACGATCAACGGCCCAAATATGTTCGAAAAGATCCACGGGGTACACATTGGGGACTACATCATGATCATGAACAAGAAGATGATAAGATTCCATAATTAGAAACATTCTTTTTTGTAGAAAAACAAAAGTAATCCACAAACTACCATGAAAACACACCTCCACCATTGAATTTGGTAACAACATTTGTGAGATATTGAAGACACTTTTCATCTTTAGATTCCATGAGTGCATAAGCAGTGGATGATGGTGAGAAGAGGAATGATCCATCTTTGCACTGAAGTTTTAGAAGTTTTTCCCACTCCAAATCTGGCATTCCTTCCAAGCTATGAAGTAAAGTTGTGGGCACTTTCTGCATTATGTTCTTCGGTATCCTTTTCGTCACGAAGAAAACATCGTCATCAATTAGGATCGTTTTTGGAAATTTGTTTTTAGTTTCTTATCTTTCGGATAAAAAGAACGGTGTGTAAACGATAAAGTACCGACTTTGTGAGCTTTAGGTTCCGTCTTGCGTAGATTTCCTCCAAAACCGGAGAATCTTCTCCAACTTCAATGTTGAGCTTCCTTGCAATGTCGATAAGTGACGGAAACGCTACTTCAAAACCGATCGGCATATGTTCTTCGTTCTCGTCCTCAAGTTTGCTTATGTTCGCTTTCAGAAATTCCACTCCTGTATAAATCTAACGGCATTAGTGACGGATTTTATGTCGCAAATTCAATTCGATCACCATAATTTCTATTAGTAGAAAAAACTTATCTTCATTTACATCTTTTCCCATTAATCACATATACGGTAAAAGACGTTACGTAGATACTTGATGGTTCAATTTACCAATGACGATAAAGAACCATTACCTTTTCGGCATTTGGTGGGATGAACGTTCCAAAAAGTTAAAGCAATTACACAGGCCAACGTATTAATGATCCGATCATGAGCCAAAAAGATCAAATGGTCGCCCCAAGATCCGTCAATGAGTTGATTGTTTACAATCCACTCCAAACTTGACGGAAACTGAGGACGGCCACTTCCATTAACATCTTCCACCAGTGCAACCCAAGCAGTATCGTAAGCCGAGACAGTTATCTCTCCATCATCCATAGAATCCAACATTTCCTTGATTTTCTCGACAAATCCCTTGATCTCGTCGCTAGAATACAAAATCTTCGGATACCGATCGATCGATGAATCGTACAGGATAATGATCGATGTTAGTACAAAATCTATAGCTATGAGGAAATGTATCTATAGGTCGTATATAAATCTAAGTACAAAAGTAAGACCTTATCGTTGTCCACGTCATCCTCCACGATGTCCTTTTGCCAGTTGATAAATGGTAAACCATTTTGTTGAAGTACATCAAGATATTCTGCACCAATTAATTACCCACACAGAATACTCAATCATATTTATTTAATCATATATTTTCATTTTTATTTTTATTTAAAAAAGATTTATATATTTGTTTATTGTGACAAACAATTTCGATGAAATATTTTTATCCCATAAAATAATTAATAAAATTGGTATTGTATTTGTATATCAGAAAAGGTAATTATATATATGGGGTGTTATTGATTAAATTGATAAATTAATTACATTAATTAAATAAATAAATTAATAGTTAAATTACCTTGTGTACGAGATTTTGATACGGCTTTGCATTGGAAATTGGGACCTTTAAGAACAACACTGCCTGTAGACCAATAGAAAATCAATAAATTAAAGATAAATCAAGTTAATATTATATATGGAAATTAAAAAAAAAGGAATATATTTAAGTATATATATATATATATATATATGTGTGTGTGTGTGTGTGTGTGTGTGATATTAGATGCTTGAGATCAAAGCAGAAAAGGAATAAAGCTTGGATGAATGATCATCATTTTTACTGCTTCAATTTGACTCATAAAAACAGTGGAATCCAACGTGTGCGCACAGAGATCAGATGCCAAAGATATTTTTACAGATTAAATAGCAAAATTCGATCTTTGAACACAAAATATTTCTCCATCTTGGCTTTGTTTCTTCCATATTCTAAGTAAAGATCTTGTATACGAATCAAATAATCTCTTTATTGTATACATATATACATACACACACACACACATATATATATATATATGTATATATAATCATTTATATACGATAAAGAAAGCCAGAATAAGCCAAAAAATACAACAACAGTAAACGGCTTTTATCGGCATTTATATGCATACACACACATGTATATATATATATATATATATATATATGTAGACATACAGATAGATACAAGAAGGGATGATGGTGAGAGAGAGATACCTGTGGAGGGAAGAAGGAGGGGAGGAAGAAGAGAAGGGGTGGCCGGAGAAGAGCGGAGGTGGTGGAAGGTGGTGGTCGGAGAAAAGATCATCGTTTTCATGGTGATTGGATTAAAGGGTTTTCTTGTGTTTTTTTACCCTGAAAAAGTGTGCCACCTACAGGGAGCAATTTATAAGGTTTAGGTATATATATAAATGTATTGTTTGGAGATGAAGTCCACCCCCTTAAGCAAATATACTATATATAATATATATATATATATATATATTTATATGTAATATATATAAATCAGTTTGAGGGAAGGGGGTGGTGTTGGGGTGGGAGTAGAGTTGTGGGTTGGGAGAAGAAGACAGAAAGGAGTTCCCAAGAGATACTCAGAAATGATGCATGGGATCCATTGGTGGTGCCTCATACATGATACTTATAAGTAATAATCATGATGCTAACAAGCTTTTCTTTTGTTTTTTCTGCATGTCTTTCTATTCTTTTATTTCCATAATCACCACAAATAAGATAACTCTTGTAATTAATTATTTTTACATATATATATATATATATATATATATATTTCATATCCAATATTTTTATATAATTTTTAGTTAAATCATTTAATATATTTAATAAGTTTTAAATGAAATATTATTTCTTTTTTCTAAATACTTAATTTCAAGAATTCTTATTAGGAGAGATATTGAAAAAAGGATCTCCCATACCTATGCTAAAACATAGAATTTTGATGTTTTAATAAAATATATTAAAATAAAAAAAAGATGAGAGAATATGAAAATCTCCATATCTCTAAAACTCCATGTTTAAGAGAAAGAAACAATATTTTAATTTTTTTACCAATAAAAGAAATTGAAAATAAGGCATTGTTTGACAAACATAAGCTAGCTATAAGTTAACTTATAAGGTAGCTTATTTTTTGATATACGTTTGAATGGACATAAGCTAACTTATAAGTTATTGAAACGTTGGTTGAAATAGCTTATGAAGAGTTTTTTTTATCATTTTTTTTCAATTATAACTTTCATTAATATTAATTATAAATAAATATTAATTATTAATAAATAAAAATAAAATTGATGATTACTAATTTTAATAAA